CTACACATCACTTAGAGCACAACTTACAGTTCACACATGCACACTGTGGAAATCACAGGAGTGGTGTAAATAGGTAAAATCCCTACCTTACCTGTGTCTGCCACCCACAAAAATTACCAACCTTTTAAAGACAGAAATATAAAGAACCCTGAGAATTATTAAAGCTGTCCAAAAAGGTCAAGGTCCACCTTAGGACAGATGCTTCAATTAGAATTTACTTTTAATACAATAGCTCATGATTTTAACCTCTTAAAAGGTTTTTGTCACTGCATATGAATTTCAGCACTCCTAATACAAAGCTGTGTGTTTATGCAATGAATTCTCTCCTGCCTTGTGTCAGCTCCATTCACTAATGCCTGTCTGCATAGCAGTCAGGACTGCTTCCTCTGTCTCTGAACTGATTACATTGCTCTGTTCATTTTTGTTTGCAAGACTTCATCTCACTCCCTAGCTTCCTCTTTTTATTTATATTATAGCATCAAAGCTTTTGAGACAATGCAGTAGGAAATACACTGCATTAAGAGAAGTCATAGCAAATTCATAGTAATGTCAGATACACCCCTTGTTTAGGCCATGCTATTTTATAAGACACAGAAATAAGACACAGCAATGTGCAATGTCTTGGGTATATTTTGTATTTTTAGAGCTATTATGGAGTTGAAAATTATATGGTAAAGCACACAGTGACAAATAAAGAAATATATGCAGGGTTAAGGATTCATACTGACTAGCTGTGAAACCTCTTGGGAGCTATTTTCAGTGATTAAGATATCACAGATATTCACATGGCAAGAATCACAATGCAGTAATATTAACTAGCCAGTTGGGTTTTTTTTTTCTCTTTTGACAAGACTTCCTCCTGATCATGTTTTAATCATTACCTAAGACTAAATTTCCAGCCAGTGCAGAGCTATTGGAAAACTGGAACTCTTGCCTTGCCTCACTACATCCCGTGAAAAAGCATGACTGACAAGCTGAACTCTGTTTAAAAAGTGAGGTATTTACACCTGGAAAATGTGCATGTGTACACAATCTGTTCCACAGTACTGCAGGCATAAACCATTGATCAAGCTGCCTGTATATGATATTTGAAATCAATGAGAACTACACATTGTCTCACTCAAAAACAATTTTGTTAGTGAAATATCTCTTTTCCGCATGTGGATTTCCAGCCAAAGAAAACCCAAGCTACCTCAAAGAGAATTGTGACAAATGACCCAAACTTTTAAAACTCAAGGAGAGTCAAAAACTTTGCCAGCAGATGAACTGGAAGAAAGGGGGAAACGCCCAGAAGCTGCAGATCAGGGCAGAGTAGAGTAGGGTATTAAACATATTAACTTTTTTTCAGGTTCATCCCTACATTGTTTTTTGTGACACATATGTATTGCACAGTTTGCATAAAATTTCCACAAGGAAGAGTTTCTAGACTTAGATCATTTATTGATACATTACTTCTGTGAAAAGCATAATCAGACAAAAGTGTATATTCAATTCCCTTTGAGGCTATGTCATGAGACTTATGGGAATATTATTAGTGCAAGCCTCTTTTGCTTACTCTAGAGAAACAAAAAGACTTTGTTGTTGTTATTATAGCAGATTTGGAAATCAGAATCAAAACCAAATGCATTCAAGTTCTCAATGTTATGCAAATGTTTCCTTTCCCAATTCTACTGATGCACCAGTGTTGCTGGAAGAAACATGTTCCACACAAGAATCAAGAAAAATTAATCTCAGGGAATAAACAAGTCTCACATCTCTAACGTTTCAAGATCCTGCAAAGAGGCTTGAAAAATTATGCACAAATCTATGACATATCTGTATATTTCTTAGCTCAGTGTTTCTCAAGAAGGTTTATCATTTTTAAGACAGACCAAAAAGAGAGAGAGAAATGAAGGCATGTTAGATACACCACTCTCAAAAAACTTCATGATAAAGTGTTCAAGGTCCAGCTCTCCTGCTGTGATGCTTTGTGTAATATATGACCATCATGTCTGGCAAGATTTGCACAGGTCTGCCCTTGATTTGTGTTAGGAAAAAACAGAAAACCTCACAACTATTCTTCATTCCCAAGAATTAATCTGGCTCCCTGATGTTTCCAATTTTACAGTGATCCAAAGAACTCCCCAAAACCACACCTGAAGCATCACTCACAATTACAGGTGATAGCTGAGGGAGACCAAAGTGAATTCCCTCCCTAGGCATCCCAAAGCATTCTCCATCACAGCAGTGGCCCCGGAGTGCTGTGAGATGGAGCCACCAGAGACCCAAACTTGCCCTGCAAGCACTGACACTGACACACGGACCAGCTTTGAGAGGCTTTTTCCTGAAAAGATTGTGAAAAGTGTCACCAATATACAAAATGCTACAAGCCTCAGGAACATCACATCCTATTGAAGCTTCCAAGAAACTACAGACTTGTGAACCTCTTCACAGCCATCAGAAAGCAGAGGAGCAGCTCAATGGGTTTGGCTTCAACCCCTGCAGGAGCTGTACAGAAAGGGCACCACTCGAAGGTTTGCCCTGGGCAGCCCCTGGATGGTCCATGGACAACCCTGCTCACTCTCTTATTTCATCTTTTCCACTACTTCTGCAAAAGGGACTGAGACTTGGCTGGAGTAAATGTAATTTGAGCAGTCTGACTGCTCTTCAATTCTCAGCTTAGCTTATCACAGGCAGCCAACAGCCAGCTTATCACAGCTAGCCAACAAATACAGTCATTACATCAGGCCAGAGAATTTTAGGATACACTTTTCCCCCAACAGCTCAATACATCATTCACAAATGTAACAAGTACACTGTAGACAAGCAGTGTGTGTTATAAATGCATATAAATGCAGGGTGTTTCCATTAAAAGCAGTAGAAATTATTATGAACAGTAAGAAAATGTGGTCACGTTCCTATGGTTTACTAAGATGTTAATTAAACATTTATTGAAACATCAGCTAATATTGTTTTAAATTAGCAGATGCATAGTACTCCTAGAATTTTTTTCCAAGTATATCATGTATGTCACATCATTTGTCTCCCCAAAAGCACTGCCTCGTTTAAATCCTTAGATAACTGCCATAACTTTTTACACAACTCCATGAAGGAGGAAAGGTTTTCTCAAAAAATTATGAAAAAAATTTCCTTTCTGTACCAAGACTAATCGACTGGAGCTTTAGAATTTTTTTGGCTTCTCAACAAGTCAGTCACCTACTTATCAGATTCATATAACAAGACGTGATGCTCTCACATAGTATTTGTAATTACCTTACACATATAAAGAGAAAAATCAGCTGTACCAGTGAAAAACTTTAAACAAAAATACTTTCCCACCAGCAGAAAAAATGTCCATCAGACTCATGTCACCTGCACTGTGACATGACTATTCAATGTCAGAGCATTTACTTTATTTGCAAGATTCACTACGGTGTTTTTGTAGAGCAACAAAACCTCGGAAGATCTTGCAACCCCAGGGAAACCTCAAGCTTCCATGCACTCTTCAGCATTAAGAAATGCTTGAGAAGAGATAAGCCAAGGAAAGGGGGAAATCTTTGACAGAGGAAATACAGCAAACTGATAACACCAGCTGCTTGTGTGTATGGCAGAGAAGGCAGGAATATCCCTACCAGCAATCCAGCAGCACAGACAACCAAGGCTCCCTTTCTCCTGTTGTTCTTCCAGCTACTGGGAATGTAATACATTACCTAATATATATATTACTGAAAGTAATGTGTTGAAGGGCATCATTTAAAATCGACATTTTAAGGCACAGTAACAAGAAATAACCATTCTTTGTTAACTGATTTTCAGAAACTGCTCCTGGTGTATAGGTGCATTCACAGAAAGTGAATGGAACAGAACTACACACCAGACAGGTGGTTTCTTTCCAAATTCAAGCCATTCAGCCACACCACCTCCATTTGCTAGACCCAATCTCATCTCATGAGTAGAAACCTCCAAGTATAGCAATTACATCAAGGATCCTGAGAATGGCTTCTATTCTCTAGTCATCATCCTACTGTAATAGATTTCAAAAATAATACTGAAAAATAAACTTAATGTATTATCTTTACTGAACCACTATAATTACAAGTAGCTGCTCAACACTGAAATTTAATTTTGATGCATCATATTGCCAGACCAAATCCTTCACAAGCTTTTTTTGCTCTATCCTGTGCAGTGGAATGCATGGTGATGCAATCAGTATGTAATGACCAAGGTTGTAAAGTAAACGTAATACTGAACAGATGCATAAATAATGTATCATTTCCTGAACTTGATTCTGACATAAAGCTTCACCAACACAGGCCTAAAGAGAGATGTGGTGTTAATTTTTCCATTTTGCATATAGGAATACATGAGAAATACAACCATATGAAGCATGAGAGGGTCAAATTCCATCCACTGGAAATTTTCCAGAAACATGTTATATTAACCAGATCAAGGCAAAATTGATATTTTGCACTGTAAATTGCCTATAAACACTGGGCATGGAGACATTGATGTTGTCAACAGAAATCAGCACTTCTCTTCGTGGTTTTTCACAGTCAGATCTCAGAGAATACTTTTTAAGTCAAGCATCAAATTTGTGGCCTTGAATATAAGTTCTCTGGTATGTAATGTATCACTTGAACAGATCAGTTTAAGAACATTCATTTCTCAACCACCAAACTCAGAAACTTACAAACTGTAGAAATTCTCCTGGAATAAGGCTCAAAGTCTATCTGAAATACAGAAGAGATATACTTGAACCTTTTCTTCCCAACTCGAAGAAAAAAAAACAGTTGCTGATGTAGCAACTTTGCAGAGGTGTTCAAATTCTATTGTTTTTTTCCTCACCCCAACTAGTAAATATTTCATGGATACAACTGAGGTGAGCAGTGCATCTTCTGGTAGAAAAGGAAGGCACCATCAGCTCTTTGTGGGAACACATTCATTACACTCTGGAAGACACACACTGGAACAGAAGTGCATTTTCTTAGAAAGCTTTAAAAAAAATGGAAAAATAAACTCACTTGTAAATGCTGAGAGTTGTCAGTCATATTGTCCTCTCGCCTACGAACTTCTTCCAACAGCTGTGCATTCTTCTTTTTCTCCAATTGCTGATTGTGCTTCAGATTGGCAACCTTCTTGTTTTGGTCCTTCATATGTCTAAGAATTGCACACACACACACACACCCATTAGTGTTAATGACTGCAATCACTTCTTTTGCAATAGAGATTTATTTTGTGACTGCAACACAAGATATCAATTCTCCAACAGACACAAGTTTTCCAAGCATCAGTTCTAACATAAAAACTTCATCTTCTTTTCAAGATGGCACATCAAAGCAGCTTTCAATTATAGAGTGGTAAAGCAATTTATTTAGGCTTACAAGGTTTTCCCCTTTTTATTATTTCCTCTCAAAAATGCATACATATTCTGAGCTCTATGCAGAAAAATTGTTGAAAGAGGGAGATTATCCAACAATCCTTACACATTCTGCATTCAGGGACAATTTGAATAGGTGCTCCAAGTAGCATTCATTTCAAAGGAAGCAGAAGGTGAAGGTGATGACTAATGCATGCTGTGAAATTATATATTTTTTAAACCTGGACTACAAATACAGTGTTTAGGAGGATTAAAGTGTGATGGGGTAGAAGGTCAGGTCATAAATACGCCATGAAGAATAAAGGGTGCCTTTGCAAATAGCTTTGTCCTCAATAAAAACATTTCTATCATTTTTAACAATGGGACCTTTTTCTACAGAAGATAAACAACAAACAAATTTATGAGCCATTCCTAAGGAAATGAAACAATCTTTGGCAGCATTATATGCTTTCTTTTGTTAAGATTGTATTTTTAAAAATTAATTGTTTCAATTTTAATTCTCTTTTATTGTGGAGGTTATTCACTAAGTTACCAGAAGCATTTCTGAGACTTAGCATACACCTTTTTAAGAAAGAAGGCAAACTAATTTAGTCTGTCAGGTAATGAAAACATATCCTTGCAATAATACTTCCTACCTGCTTGAATTCCTAGATATTATTTTCCAGACTTTCTTTGACTTGGAGGAATTTGCTCTCTTTTATCTATAAAAAATAAGTCACGTGCAAATTCCTAATGAGATCTACTCACTAATCCTATTGTGGCAAATGAAGAGAATATTATTCAATGCCCAAAAAGATCACTGAAAATCCCTCCATTGCTTCCACATCAGAAGCAGTGAAAAAAAGTTATAGAATACATTTCTTGCACAGATTTTATTATGCTAGAGAAACTGGGTCATTCAATATTTACTTCTATCACTGGTTTCTTTGCCCTAACAAGTTTTTTTCACTATTTATTTATGCTGAAAAAATAACAATTAATTTGCAATGTTCCATGGTATTAAAAATTCTTAAAAGGCACTTCATGTAAAAGTTCATAAGTACAGCACATTAGAGAAAATCCCATCAACTATAACTATAAACAAAGTACCATAAACTTGCCCAGGAAAAAAGCATGGATAACTAGTTCAAATATAGGTTATTTTCTTGCAACTCCAAGTGAAAATCAGTTCCCTGTCATGAATCTGTCTCATAATTGTAAGCACAGATTTACTCAGCGTAAAACCAAAACGAATATGGAAAAAAAAACCACTTCCACAACTTCATATATAAATGTATTTGGCTGAAATTTTGGTGGTGCAACACGGCTTTGTGCTGTTAAAACATAAATTGGCTTCCAATCTCATGTTGAGTAAATTATAAATTCATTTGCATTTAATCTCTCTAAGAAGTTCGATTTTATGCAAGGCTAGCTGCTTCTTTCATCACCCCTCCCTCACCAACCTCCCATTTCAGCTTCTCCCTAATACCACACTGAGAAGTAGAACATGGTAAAGCTGCAAAGGAAAAACATCTGGTGCCTGTGATATGCAAAATCTTGAAGAGAAGGAAATTAAAGAAAGCTCTGTCATAGATTCTCTTTATTCCACAAATGGCTACACACCTATGGAAATGAAAAGAAAATGCTATAGTTAAAAAGCCTAGCTGAGGAATTTTTTTTTTAGGCCTGCATTAAAAGCACTGGAGGAGTTCAATGCAGCAAATCACTACAAAAATATATTTCCCACCAGCTTTTTTTTTCTTTCTTTTTAATAGCAAATATCAAATATAATCCTTGGTCAAGTAGAATTCTTGAGTTGCTTGCCCTGGTATGTTTTCATGTGGTTCTTCTGTTTCTAAGATGCTCTTGAATAAAATAGATTAGGATAAGTAAAAAATATGCATGACAAATAAAAAAATATTTGGAAACAGTACCCAGTCAGCATAAAATATCATATGCTATGACCATAGAGGATATATGATAAAATATCCACATAGCTTACTAACAACAATGCTGATATGCACAGTTAAGTCTACATTACTCTTTTTCATGAGGAATTAATTTCATTTGTTCTGCTATACTGCCTGAATTTAAAGCTCTAATACCACAGAATTCATTAGACAATAAAATAAATAAAAGACTACTGCTTTAGACATAGGTCTTTAAAATCTGCAGTATATATTTTAGGGGTCTGGTCAGTAGAATTCCTCTTACCACCACAAGTTAATCATTTTCTGATAGTGTAATGGCCCCAGAGCAGGAAGATGAAATCCACAGCTCTCTCATTCTCCACACTGTTATGGTTTATTTTGAAGTCAGGCATCTATTCTCTTTCAGGGTTACTTTTATTATTTTAATCTATTCTCTTTTAGGTTAATTCTTTAACCCCTGAGCCAGACATTGCAGTCATCCTAAACTCGTTAAAACCCACCACTCTGCTGCATTTGTGATTTTATAAACTTCACAGAAGTGGAAAGCCAGGCTACAAACCAGTTCTGAAGCACTCAAATCCACAGTACACTGAAGTAGTGCCAACACTACACTTGGCTTAAAGAAATTATGTTCTGAGCTCATAAACATTTAAGAAACAAAGCAGACTAAAAAAGCAGCTTAGATGACTAACTCTCTGCACAGATGCTTAATCTTGGCCAACCATTAAAAAGTAGGATTGCTGACAGTTTTTCAGATAACAAATTTACATTTGTTTGTGTTCCTATGGTTAAAGCCAGTCAGCAACTGTTACAGAATATCTAGCAGCTTAGGAACAAAAAAGAATTCAGAGTGAAACTAAACTGTCTTGAAAATAGAGCTAGAATATAAACATACTTTAAATTGTGTAAAATAAAAATATTTTTTTAAAAAGTTAAAAAATAAAATTAGTTTTGTTCTGTTGCAGAATTACAAATTAAAGGATGTTATCCTAGGCATCTCTTAAATCTTTTGATAATTCAATATTATAGAAGCAGTATCCAGCAAACACTCCATGCCACATAAATACTAGATACCAATAATATTGACATTTAATAAAGAAGAGATGGACAATAGGAAAAAGAAAATATTCCAAATAAAATCTTATTATTTTAGTACACTAGACATTCTCTCATTCCTAAAGAAGAGAAAAAGATTATATAAAGTAACATAGTCCTCTAGAAGTTACCTTACTACTCATTAAATTCAGGTTGTTATATCTAGATTAAGCCAATGCTCTTAAGTGAATATTGATTCACCTTAGATACTCCATAAAAATCAGCCTCTTCCTGAATCTTTCTGACCTGGGATAATTTTTTATAATCTTTCTCAATACACAGACTGTTCCACAGTAATTAATTTGCAGTTCGACTGAGCACTAGACTTAAAATCAGGTGTCTAAATGACAGCAATGCCCACACCTCTGTTTTCCTCAGCAGCCAACAATTTTTCAAGAAAAGTGTTCTCAGAATGCTGGAGTCAGACTGCAGCACCTCTGACTTCTGTGCTGCTGAAGAACCATCATCTACAACTGAAATATTTATATTCACTTAGTGTATCACAGATCCAAGCAAGACAGGAAAAGACAAAACATTCTCAAACAAAAATTTAGCTTTATCTCATATGACATCCAGTCCAAAGGACTTGGAGCCCATCAATCTTCCTGGGCAATCAGCAAGATGCCCTTACCTCAAATGCACTTTTCATTCTATTTAATCTCTTAACTGAAATGTCTTTGCAGCAAACAGACACCAGTACCACAGAGACCCAGAGCAGCAGAAAGATAAACAGCAAAGCAGTAGCACCACTGAGCTCCTGCTGGTATGAATGTCACTGTAATGACTACACTTTAACCATGTTTGGGGCTTTTTCTTGTTCTGCAGTAGCACACAAATTGATCTCACAGGTCTAACTATAGGACATTTAATTCCTTCAGTTCAGCTTTTTAAGACAAATATTAAACACTAAGTTTCTGCACATATATGAGTAGTATTCAGATTTTATTTTACAGTAGCATGTGTTGTCTAACCTCCAATGCTTTCATCTCTGATAGCTATAGAAAAATCACACTATTTCATTAAATTCCCTGTTTTAATTAGCCACCTGGGTACCTTGGCCACAAAGCTGATAATGTCAGCCAAAAATAAGTGTTACATGTTAGTATAGCCTTTACTCTATTTCATAAAGGGTTTTTTTTCCCCTCAAAGCATCCAAAAAATGCAGACATGCAAAATACTCCCAAGAGCAAAATCTGTAACATTTTCTAAAGGAGTATGTCTCTGCAATAATTTTAATCACTTTAAACAGCATTGCAATGGGACCAGCTGTCTGCAAGTCAATCAAAATACTCTCCAGTGTGCTAGGACGCTGTGCTCCTCAGCAAATAAAAGATTAAAAAAAAAAAAAAACAGAGGGCAAAGAATGTTTTCAGGGAAACAAGCAAAAAAAAAAAAATCAACCCCAAGCCAAACCAACCAGATCTATTTTATGAAATACAATGTATTCAAAACAAGTAATTATATTAAAAAAAAATTCTCAAAAATAGGTTTTAAAATTCAATATAGTACACATTCTAAATAAACAAAAATCCCATTGTTCTAGGCAGGCACTGGTTAGAATATAACCATCATCATTACTTGAAATTATTATCTCTTTCTGCTTTATAAATAGTCCATACTTTTACAAAGAACTCATGTATGTGATCAATGAAACAAATCTTAACATTTTACTAGGCACTCTGGGTCTCAGCAGCTAGTCATGCAGAAGACCTGATCCTGTAAATCCCAACCATGTGAATGTCCATTCCAAATTACATTACTCCAGTAAGACTCAG